CCCCAAAACCCCAAAACCCCAAAACCCCAAAACCCCAAAACCCCAAAAATATTGCTAAAATTGAGCAATGAAAATAATCATGGATAATATTAAAAGTATAACAATGATAGTAGGTAAGCAGGCGGGCCTCCTTCTATCAGGCAAACTTATTGTTCATACCTAACATTCCTCCTATAGGTTCTATCGCTGCAGCTAGTGGAGCTCTCTTGTATTATCAGACTTCAAAAGAAGCAAATGAAGAGGGTCTTGAGAAGCTTAAAAGTATTTTGCAAGAGCTTAAAGCTGCATATATACCCATATATGTCAGGTCATACAACATGTACGTCAATTCTATTAGAGAAATGAAGGATAAGAAGGATTCAAAGGAATTCGTCCAGAAATGAATACAAGAACAGAGTAAATAACTCTTATTAAACATCATAGTTGACACAGAAACTTCCAAGATAGATGAAGAAGTCTGTAAACAGTTCGAAATTACAGTGGAAGAGCTTTCCCAGATGATTGGGATGTATGAAAAGGATCCTGATGTGGTAGAAATGCAGAATTTGATAGAAGAAAACACCAAAAGGATCTTTGAAGAGAAGAGACCTGACTTCAAACTGGAATACCCTGACAAGATCACCCCAGAACTATATTTTGAGATCCTTACGACCATCTTTGAATATCTCCGCTATGAAGTTTACTGAAGACTTAGGTATAAAATCAGGGAAAATAATGGAAGTAAGTTTACTGCTTAACACTTACATAGAGTTACTGCCAAAAGATGATATTATGGCAACTCTCAACAACATAAATGTTGAAGAAATCCGGAAAGAGGTCATTACACATTATGACATCACCATTGATGCTGACAAGGAAGTCGAAGAGGTCCTCAAAAACGTCTATTATACTCACCTATCAGAAGAAGGGTTCGATGAGCAAGCCACCGAAGTTTACAGGCATCATGAAGACATTTTAAAGAAGATCCTTTCTTTAGATCTCGCTAGTAGCTCTGATCTGAAGGCATCAAAATTGGAGATCCATCCTTTGACTGGTGAGAAAAGAGATTACTTCGATAAGGAATGGATCAAGAAAATCGACAGTGTTCCAGATGATGACAATGAATAATGTAATTCTTTTAAACTAAGATAAAGTTCTTAAAAAATATTTTATATAATAATTTCAGCCAGAATTCAACTGTATCTCATCTATAGGGGTTTTGGGGTTTTGGGGTTTTGGGGTTTTGGGG